CATTCCTAAACATTGTTTTTCTTCATTAATCGTTAAATCCAATCAAATGTGTACAATTCAATTTTTCTTACAAGATGCTCATATTGACAGCTTTTTAAAGTTGTGAATTAGAATTATTGAAAAGAATGATCATGATAACAGTTTAAACAAAATGGTGCTTATAATATGCGACTAATATTTCAACTCATATGTTTAATTTTGTTGTCCAATTAAATTAACATCAAATTTTGTATGATTGGTTTAATTCGTGAAAAACAAAAAATGTTTTTATTTTACTATTTCAGTTTCATTATGTGGATAAAATTTTTCAAACAAATTGAATAATACTAATTATTGTTATAAATTGACTTAAAGTAATGATTACGAAATCTCATCATTAAGGAACAAAGTAATTTCCAGATAAATTTCTCAAGTTTTAAATATCTGATTATTGCATGAAAGGCCATTACACTAAGTGTAATTGATAATGTAACTCATTAAAACGTGGTCGCGAATTCCCTTGAGTACGGTGGGCGTGCCTAGCATACGCTGGACATACTCGTGGCTGATGCAAGCCCTAAATTTTGGGGTTTGGACATTATAAAACCTCATTATCTCCCTTGAGGCTGGCTTTATCTTCAACCTCCATCCTCTAAAGCAGTCTGCTCGAAACCCTAGACCCATTTTGTGAGATTCTTGAGCTTTTGAGTGATTTGGTGTGTTTTTGGTGCATATTGAAGAAGAAGGAACTCATTAGAGAAGTGTTGATTGTCTTGGAGCTTGTAGATCCAAACTTTATTCATCTTGATCATCCTTCTAGAGGTATAAAGTCTCAACCTTTATGGTTTATTGCTTAGATCTAGTTTAGCTTACGGTTTTGGCATATGTTGGTCGCATGGGTGGTTTATTGCGAGTAAAATCGAGCTACTCCAGAAGCTTAGGTTAGCATTTGTTGATGTTTCTGAGGTCCCTTGTGCATAAAAATTGTATCTTGATGGCTTTGATTCAACCATGCATGAGTTGTTGTTCATAATGTGAAATTAGGAAGTTAGAGTTCGGTTTTGGGGATCTTTGAGCATTGCAAAGGCATCAAGTTGATGACTTTATCAGTTAGGACATTCCCAAGAGCTAGATATGTGAATTGGAATTTCTGGATCTCTTATCAAATTGAAAACCGATAATGTATAGACAACATTGATATTGGGAGATAACCATCATCAGATAAGGGCAAAATGGTCCAAATGTGGACACAAACACAATCATACAGACACAATCACACACAAATACATACAATCGCTTAAAAACACAAACAATTAATAATAGAAAGACAAACACGATTTTAAATTTCTACTGTGCAATCCAATAAAACTCATTAAAAAATGTTTAATCTCAAATAAAGAAAAAAACAATTTGCTAATTCAATCAACTATTGTGTAAGTCAAATAAATCACGCTAAACAATACAGTCACTTAAAAACACAAACGGTGAATAATAGAAACACAATACACGAAATGAGATTTCTAACCTTATGTAGATGTTGGTGTTCTAGATGATTTAAAAAAAACAAAGTAATCTTGATACTGAGATGAAGAATCAAATAAATAGGAAATCATATCCTGACACTGTATAGTCCACATTGTATTATTTTGGGAAGGTTATAGGATTAACCACAAAATTGGAAAAGAATCATTTGGATGCGTATGAGTAATTTCAATGATTTAAGGTTTAATTATAGGAGATTTCAAAAAGTAAGGAAAGAAACGTCTTTGTAGAATTTATTCTCAACTTTAATATAAGGAATCTACCTTACATATCTCTTCTCTTCTAATAAAAGACTACTAAATATGCCATTTGTTATTTTTAGGCCACTATCCTACCACGTGTCAATTTTCTAGACCCTTAGCTAATGGTTTTCCCGCTCATTGTTTTTATCATTGACATTTGAAAAAAAAAATTGAAAAATTCGTACAAAATGGTAACATTTATTAGTTTCCATGGTAATCCCTATAAATTAGGCAATTAATTTGTTTTGTTTTGGTAACTTGATGTTCCTAGGCAAGAAATCAGGTTGTAATCCTATCAAAATCGATGGACCAGGGCTACCTTTAACGGTTTAGCCCATTTTATAATATGTCATATATTGCTCCAACCAAACAGGATCGGCGACTTGAAGATTATCCGGCTCTTTTGATTTCTGGTTGGTTATCAAACTTTGTTCTTCGTCGTGTAGAGTGCTAAAAAAGTTTTTATTTTTTTTTATTTTATGATTGGAATATTCTACCGGGCAATCCACCACTGCGTTTTTATTTCACTCGATCGTGAATTCTTGATCTTGCCCCTCTAGATAAGTCGATATAAGTATCAATTATTCATTAGTCCTTAGCTTTGGAATCACATAATCAAGAATCGCATAAGTGGCTTTGTGTTAGACGTGGAGCTACCAGGTCAGTTGTCTTTTTTATTCACATTGCTATCGTATCAGGGTAATTGTTGCAATGCTCGATGTTTGATAGGGAGGGTGATGTATTTATCTCATATGTATATTTCCTTAGAACTATGTGAAATTTATTTTGGGTGCTAACATAACTAATCGTTTTGTGAATTTTGATTTTGTATTCAAATTTAGCAATGACTTTATTTTCTCTAAATTTGTGTTTTTACATAGCAATTTGCCTTTTATTTTGATTCAAGCTTAATTATTTGTTTACTAGGTTCTAGGGCTTTAATTTGTAGTATGCACTAGACTATTGTTTGATATGGGTTCATATATGGAATAAATAAGATAAAGAGCTCTATTTGGTTGGAACATGGGTTTGTTTAAGGGCATTTATGGAATAAATAAGATAGAATCATGGGTGAACAAACTTTCACAACTTAACTACTAAAAGATAATTTTTAGCATTGAATAAAAAAAACAACTTTATATATCTTAATCTATTAAGTTTTATACATGTTTTTTGTGAATTTACAGTTTTTGTAGGATTCAACAAAATGCATTTGTACTTTTGAGACGGGGTCCGGGATTTAAAGACAAAATTTTGATTGGAGGAATGAGGTTTGAAAACCCAACAAGCACATATACGTTTCTTTCAATTTAATATTGTGCTCTTTTAATACATTATTTGATTTGTACACTAGAAGATGGAGTATGTTGGAATATTTTTGCTAATTTTACTGTCTGTTATTTTGATGGAAGAGATGGTGTATTGTTTATGTAACTATGAAAGGTGAAGACTTAGATCATTGAAGTCACTCATAAAGACAATAAAGAGATGATATTAATGATAATGAAGATAATGTTCTTATGATAATCTGACTATTGGCTAAATAACATTTTCCATCCCTGTGGTCAGTTGAATTTACGGATACAATCCAATTTTTATATTTTAAACAGCTGAAGTGAACACGTTTAAGTAATTTGGTGGTTAGCTATCTCAATTGTGAATGTAAGTAAAATATATTTTGAGTTTTCCGTTAGGAGGCAGATTTGCGCGTAATTGAAAAAATGGATTATGATCAAATACAAGAAATAACAATCTTCATTCATTGGTTTATTTCTTATAGCCATAGGGTATTTAATCTCTTGGATTTGTTTTAATAAGAGATTTTATTGATCATGTTTGATGGTATATTTCAGTCAGTTATAAAAGATATAGTAGTTCGAAGCAAATTACCACCCTCCTCAGTCAAGGGGATAGCAGTACCTATTGAAAAAGTTAGAAATCTGAAAGTATTATGTTTCAATTATAAAGATAAACATTGTAATTTTTTTTATGACTAATAAGTTTTTCTTTGACTAAACAAATGATGATAGTATTATATTTCAATTGCAAAATTAATTTAAAAAAATCCAAATTATTAAGGCATTTTATTTTCCTTCTTAAGATTGTACAATGAAAATCTTAACGTTCTTGGTTTTATTTACTAATTATAGCATTGCACCACCAGGAGTATTATTAAAAAAAATTCTAGAACTGTGAAAATAAAATTTATTATAGCATTATACTTTTCATCATAACATTGTACTTTCAAGAGTATAGGGGCTAAATGCAAGAAATAGCAATGCACTTTCTTTTGTTTGTCTAATGTAGCATCTTACTTTAATTTATGTTTATTCAATTCTTCTTAATTAACTATTTTTCTTATTTAAGCATTGTACATTAAAAATACAAGGCTATCATACATGAAATAATGTATGTGAAACAAAAGTAAGATGCTTTAATTGAAAGAAACAAAAGTAAGAAACAATAGTTGGATTGTTAATTTTATAAATGGAAGAATGGAATAATGGAAGAAACAAAAGTAGGATGCAATGGAAGCGGGTACCCGTTCTTGCAACCGGGACTGCTTCGGAATCGATTGATGTTATTGGTTCTATTTCCTAAAGTTTAGAACCGATAGTGACCGGTTTCGTTTCTCATTTTTTGGAATCGTTACCTACAATATATCGACCTTTGAAATAAAAAATATTTTTAATTGTAATATACCAACATAAATACTAATACTGATTTTTGTCTGTGATTAAAATGTTTGTTGTTGATATTCACATTTAATATTATCATTTAAATAACTAATGGTTTGATTAGGCCTCCATTAATTATAATTGGAATTCATTCTGTATTTTTTACTATATATTTTTTACTATATATTTATATATCATTGAAGATGCTGACATTTGCTTGATAGTTAAATAAGCTATGAAGTATCAAATATTGTTTTTTTAATTTGTTAACCGTGGTTTTCACGGGTTATAATCTAGTAAACCATTATAATCCATGTGACAAATAAATGAAAAAAAAAATGCTTAGCAAATTAAATGTGCCAAAATGAAGAGATTAATAAGTAATAACATCCTAAAAATAATTTGAACAAGTAACCGACCAGCATATGAGGCGCGCTGGTGCATTATTTAACAATAGGCTGAACAAAGTGGAAGAGTCAAAGTCAAAGTCAAAGTCAAAGTCGTCATCGCCAACACTACTTCTGGTTCCAACCTGTTCATACCTTTTCCATCATCGCATGTGCTCCTTCACTGTAAAAGGTCCTCTCTTTCTCTATCACTATAATCCCACGTTCTTGGTAATTGCAATTGAACTGTTTTTTTTTTTTTGGATAATTACTTATGTTTGATTGTTCGTATCTTGATACTACGATTCACTTTTGAGCTTGGTTTTTGATTATTCTTGTCGCAATAATTACCTTCATCTATCGAATACTCCATTGAATTGACAAAAACAGGGTCTCGACTATAAGCTTTTTTTTTTGCCTTTGAAATGAATTAGCAATGCGTTAATGAATTTTCTTGTGAAAGTATAGATTAATAAACAAATTTAAATGGCTTCATGAGAATCAATCTAGTGTCATCTTCTGGCCTTGATATTATCATCTCAAATTCTTACAACTATCATTCAACTTTGTCCCAGTTTTGAATTACCTGCAAGATGCTTTGTAGTGATACCTCTGATTTTTGGTGCCACAGTTGCTCATGTTTTCTCACTTTTATAGATCAACACGAATGGTACAATTACGAAAATACCCTTTTCTTATACTTTTACTGATCTACCTTGGAATCCAAGTAGAATTAGATGCCTCTGATCATCGCTACAGTGAAGGTGATGTAGTCCCCTTCTACGCCAACAAAATTGGCCCAATCTCTAATTCATGGTTAGACACATTTACTCCAGAGATTTTTAAATATATTTTTTTATATCCTCTTATTCTAGTTTAATTAATTTGTTTTCAGGGAAATATATGCTTATTATGAACTTCCATATTGTTCTCAAGGTACTTCTTTCTTGAATGTCTTGGTACTTCTTTCTCCATTCTAACTTACTCAATCATCCCATATTGTTTATCTAATAACAGATGATGTCAAAGAGAAGAAGCTTAATTTAGGAGAGATGTTGAATGGAGATCATCTTGTTTCAACTCCATATAAGCTTGAATTCCTTGTGGATAAAGATTTTGAAGTATTATGCAATAAGACACTGAGTAAAACAGATGTTTCTAAGTTCAAAAGGGCTATAGAGAAGGACTACTATATGCAATTTTATTATGACGACTTGCCAATGTGGACTTTTATTGGAATAAAAATAAATAAGGGTGGTTTTAATGAAAGGATCAAGAAAGGGTATTCCCTTTCCAAACATTTTGATTTCCAAGTTTTTTATAATAAGGATCGTGTTATTGAGGTTAATCTCCAAGTAGCTATGGATTCACTTGCAGACATAACAGAAGACAAGGAAGTTGATGTGAGCTTCACATACTCAGTTAAGTGGACAGTGACACAACAATCAGTTGATAGGAGAATGGAGAAATACATTGGTTCTGCCTTTTTACCTCACCACATAACTATACATCATCACTCAGTTACATTCTCAAGTGTCATACTCCTCATTCTGATCATTTCCCTACTGACATTTTACTTACTTGTCCTTCGCGAAGACATTTCCAAGTATTGATTCTACTCACAAAAATTATGTCTGCATATTCAACTTATTATGTTTGTTATGTTTATCAAATAGAATAACTCTTTTGTTGCCTTCCTTGTTTTCCCAATGCATGAAAAATGAAAGGAACTCAGTCGATGTAGAAGAGGATCAAGTGATAAGTAATCAAGAAGAGATAGGATGGAAGAATGTCCATGGTGATGTATTTAGATTCCCACAACACAAGTCTTTATTTGCTGCGGCTCTTGGTGTTGGCAGCCAGTTGTTTATACTGTTAGTATCTCCAAAATATGAAATATGTCGGATCTTTTGACTTTTTGCATCAAAGGGCCACTAATTTTGCAATGGAAATTTACTTTTTGTGGCACCCCCCCCCCCCCCCCCTCCACAAAATCCTTATCTAATTTTTAAACATTGTTTTCTGAGAAAATAATATGTCAAATCCAGTCTTATGTTGCAAAATACATATTCATATATTCAAAATTACATTCCTAAATTGCGAAATATAGGATTTTTTCGCAAATTTTAAATTTCTTTTCAAATACTTTTTATGCTGAGAACTAGACCCGGCAATTTGGTACACAACTTGAGTTTTCCGTGTATGGATTTTAGAAATTCGTGTTTCGTGTCTATTTCTGTCGACACAAATTTTAAAATTCATGTTCCGTGTCTTATCATGTCAAACACGAATTTACCTGTTTAAGCATAAACACGAATTAAATTTGTGTAAATTCGTGTTTTCATGTAACATAGTTAAAAACGTGTTTATTCGTGTCGTGTGACATGTCATACGGATTAATTATATGTCATGTTCGTGTTTGATACCCATGACAGGTTTTACAATTCGTGTAATGTTCGTGTTTTTTAAATTTATGTCGTCTAAATTCGTGTCTGACACGTATACACGACACGCTGACACGGATTGCCATATCTAGTGAGAACCATTCAAAAGCGATTTTGCAATTTCTAACGGTACCCACCTAGAGATTGGTGGTCATTTCTTTTATAGTTAAAAAGTTAGTAATTTTGTTGAATGACCCTTACCATTTTTGTCATTTTTGTGGTTTTCCCTTTATTTTATGGTTTTTATATATATATTTTTTTGGGGGATGCATCTTAAATTACTTTTCTAACCTTTCTTTTGTTGAAATTGAAGGATCATAGCAATTCTTGCTCTTGGCCTCCTAGGTTTTTTTCAGCCCTATATTCGAGGAGTAGTCTGGAACGCACTTATCATTGTATATGCACTTACATCTTTGGATACTTCTGTTTCCTTTTATTGTCAACTCGAAGGAACCAACTGGGTATGTGAAAATACAAAATTTTGTTTGAAACTTATATAATCTAATTAATTTTTAGGGTTATTGACATAAAAGTCCTAAATAAGTTTGTCAAATTTTGTCGGTTTTGTCCGTGTGACATTTTTTTGTTCGTTTATGTCCTTAAGTTTTCCAAATTTTTTCATTTTTGTCATTTTTACCTATAATAACAGTTTCCAGATTACCATGAAATATTATTTGCAAAAAAACCTTAAGTTTACAAATATTTTATGTTTTTACCCTGAGTATGTATTTTTTATATGATACGAATTAAGGGTTTTTTTTTTTTGAACAACTGAATGCATTAAAAAAACACTCTAACAAGGAGCTAGATCAAAAACAAACCAATTGCATCAAGATTAAAAGAAGATTTTGAAGCCAATCATTCCATTTAACTTGAAACTTATGCTTCCTATAAACTACCCAACTCAAAGCAATCAAAACTATGTCATCAAACATTCTATCATTTCTTGGTTTATTTGTATCAAAGACACACCTATTTCTAATGTGCCAAACTGACCACCACACAGTGACTATGATCACCTCCAAAACTGCTTTACGAGCCAAAGACATATGAAATGAATCCAAAAACCCTGGTAAATCATAGATAGGAATAAGATTAGATAATTCAATATCACACCGACAACTTATTAAGATTTCCATACTATTATTAAGATTTGTAAACTTAAAGGGTTTTATTTTGCAAATAATATGTTAATAACCCTAACTTTTATTCACGTAAAAAGGTCCATACTGATTGGCTCTCTTATTTTCTCCTTCACAGATGAAGAACCTAATACTGACAGGAGGATTATATCTTGGGCCTCTCTTTCTTACTTTTACGTTCCTAGACATTGTTGCCATCTTTTATGGATCAACTACTGCATTGCCATTGAGAGCAATAGTCATGTTATCTCTTTCGTGGATATTCATAGCATCACCATTGCTTCTTATAGGAAGCATTATCGGGAAAACCAGAATGTCTGAATTTCAAGCTCCCTGCAAAACCGCTAAAATTCCTAGAGAGGTTCCTCCGCTGCTGCGTTGGTATAAGGGTGTTCTCCCTCAGATGGCTTTGGCAGGAATTTTGCCTTTCAGTGTCATAAATATTCAGTTGTATTACATATTTGAAAGTGTTTGGGGGCATAGCATTTATATACTTTATAGTATTATGTCCATAGTCTTCTTTCTTCTTCTGATCATGACTGCTTTAGTTTCTGTGGCTCTGACATACTTTCAGCTTGCTGTAGAAGATCATCAATGGTGGTGGAGGTGCGTTAAATAGTTAGTGTGATTACTGATTATGGTCTTCAATTGCTATATGCATGAGCTAATAAGTTACAAGTTATAACTAATAAGAGTTCTTTATTTGACACAGGTCGTTTTTGTGTGGTGGATCTACTGGATTGTACATATATGTTTATTGCATCTATTATTATTTCAAGAGATCAGAGATGAATGGTTTCATGCAAATCTCCTTTTACTTCGGCTATATGGCTTGTGTCTGTTTCGGCATATTTCTTGTACTGGGAAGTGTGGGTTTCCGTGCCTCACTGCTCTTTGTTCGTTACCTGTATGCAGCTATAAAATGCGATTAACAGACTAACAGGTATATTTGAATATAGAATTTCTTGTGATATATTTTTGTTGGTTAAATTTAGGATAAATGCGACATTGCATGTTCTGTGTAATCTGCTCGGTGTTCATTTCTCCTTTTGGAATTGATCTCTCCTATTACATGTCCATATTTATATAAAACCATAATGTCCTTTTAAACTTTAAAGTTTTATTTTTTGTGTTAGAGTGGTAAATCTTCTATTACTTGTGGTAGCATTAAAGCTAATAATAATTTTTTTTCCCATCAAGCCAGCTTGGCTTATTCAACATATGTAGACGATAAAATCCACCATTTAATCAAGGAACGCACTTTTTTGAGGTCACAATTCCCTGGATCTGATGTGATAATTGCTCCATTTTTATCATCATCCTGTTAGGTAATTAAGTACTTCAACAACAGAAGCACAATGATAAAGAAACTGAAGAATAACGAAGAACACATGGACTTAACGTTGTTCAGTTGATTAGAGTAATTAAGCTACATCCACAGGATAAACTAGAAAGATATTTTGTTTGATATTCAATGCTATACAATTTTTTTTTAAGGCCGTGTTTGGAGAGCCACAACTAGATGATAAACTGACTTATTTTTCGAATTTTTTTTTAAGTTGTCATGTTTGGCAAGCCAAAAAGCAGGTCCGGCCCTAAGGGGGTGCAGGGTGTGCAACCGCATAGGGCCTCGAAAAAAATAGGGCCCGAGTTTTAATAAATTTATATAATTAATATACTGTATGTTTATATATATTTCATTTTACGTATTAATGTAAACATACTACTTGTAGTTCAGTTGGTTGGGTATGCGCCTCTGGTTTAATTGTTTTAAATCCACCTGGGTTCGACTCCATGCTCCAACGTTTTCCTTTAAATTTTAATTAACCAGCTTTTCAATTTCCCTTTATAATAATATATATAAATACACGTACATAATTTAAAAACTATCAGGTAGTTCGCTTGGTTAATAGCGGCGTCTTAAGTAATCTCCAAAAAGAATAGCTCAAATCTTGTTACCTTTATTTTTTTTATTTTTTTTATTTTTTTTTTAAACTAATAAGTTTCCTTATATTTAAGAGCTCTTTTTTCTATTCTCGGGCACATGCCCTTAACATCAACGGACCGGCCCTGCCAAAAAGTATGTCATTTATTTTTTTTATTTTTTTTTTAAACTAATAAGTTTCCTTATATTTAAGAGCTCTTTTTTCTATTCTCGGGCACATGCCCTTAACATCAACGGACCGGCCCTGCCAAAAAGTATGTCATTTTATATCTTTCAGCTAGTTTTTCAGTTATTTTTACCAAATGTTATTTTTTATCGGCTAGCTTTTCAGCTAGTATGTCAAGCATAACCTTAGTGCATTTTAAATGACATGCTCTTGTCTTAGAGTTACAATCAATAATAAGAGATTTATTTATAATGGCTGGACCTAAATCTTTTGGATTAGGCTCATTGGCCCAAGACAGTAACATCCCATTTTTTTATATAATCACATTTTCTTAGTAAATTGAAATTGGAATAATCCAAACTCAAGTGAAAGGAAAACAACATAGTAGAAGTGTGATGGTTTAAAATAAAACATAGTACTGAGAAATTGTAATGTCATGAGTAATCATAAAATCATAAATATCATAAATGCGATCACTGTTGCATGTTGTAATGTCATGAGTAATCATAAAATTATAAATATCATAGATGCGATCACTATTGCATGATTCAGGGTTTTTCCTTTAATCGACCATGGAGGCTCTTAAAAAGATTAAATGAACAACCTGTAAGCGAAAATGCTCAGTGATCCCTGAATCTATTACATGTAATGATGATGAACGTAAGTGGGTACCCGTCTTAATTATCTGGAATTAGAAATGAAACTGAAACCGGCGGTTCCTAAAATGTTAGAACCAGAACCGGCGAGTAGCGGTTCCAATACCCGGTACACGGTTCGTTAATTTTGTTGAACATTTAAAACTTATAAAAGTATATCTATTGTAAACTTACAAGAAGTTATCGATGACATGAATATGTAATTCGCTACGTATTAAAAATGATGATTAGAAAATATCAGTAGGTTGAATAATAGTATTGAGGCATATAAATACATCCACTTACGATTGTTATAGTCCAACTTCTTACATCAAACTATCTAAACATACATATCAAATCATACAAGGAATCACATACTTACGAAAACACATAGTATCATGTATAGAGAAGTGAAACTCACATGATCTAAAGATATCTTCTATTGCTACTGAAAAGTGGACTAGGAGGTGACCAACTTACTTACATTATCATTAGTTACTACTTAGGTTATATTCTAAACCCTTACTTAGTAATACTTATAGGTAACGTTTGGTTCGCAGAATGTTTATGAAGAAATTAGAATTTGTAAGGAATTGGAATCCAATTCCATAGTCTGTTTGGTTGGTAGGAAATGGAATTGGAATCCAAATACATATTTAGTTTGGTTGGAAGGAAATGAAATTACAATGATGTAAAATCACATAATTACCCTTTTTATTTGTATTTTGTTTAATTTTACTTTATTTTATATGTTATATGTAAATATCTATTATTTAAATTATAAAAAAAGATGGTGGTGGTGGTGGTGTGGCATTGATGGTAGTGTCATCAGTGATGTTTATGGCGGAAGTAGTGGCGTGGAAGTGACACTCATGGTGGTAGTGGAACTAATGTCGGTGGTGATAGGTAGCGGAGACGGTGATGGTAGTGTCGACGATGGTCTTGAGTGTGGCGGTAACGTTGATGGTGGTGGTGGCGAATGGTGGTATAGCGGTAGCGATGGCAGCGGCGAAGAGTGGAAGTGGTGACGGCAATGGTGGTGCCAACAATAGTGTGGCTGTGGTGGTGTTCGTGGTGTTGGAAGTAGTGGTGGTGGGTGGCAGTGGTCGTGGCGACGGTGGTGGTGGTTGTGGTGATGACGTGGAGGCGGTGGTGGTGACAACGAACGTGGTGGTGGTGATGGCGGTGACGGTGGTAGTGCTGGTGATGATGGTGGCGTTATTGTTGGTGATGGTGGTGGGGGTGGTTGTAGTGGCGGTAGTGGTGGTGGAGGTGGTGTGGCGGTGGGAAAGAAAAATAGAAATTTAAAAAGTGTGTGGGAAAAGAAAGACTCATCCTTACTAGGAGAGGGGAAAAGAAAACAAACCCAAAAGTTTTGAAAGAAAATGGAATGGATGAGTCATCCATCTCAAGATTTAAATAGTATGTACGTTCTTGAATTTTTAATTCATAAATTAAAAATTAAGTAGAAGAAGTCTATTTTTTCATAGAGGATGTCATGTAGCTAATACATGTTTGTCATCTTGATGGCACATAGGCGTTCATAAACATTATTATCGGTTTTTTAGGGCATCTAATCAGGAAATCTGCAATAAAGTCTTAATATTTTGAGTCAGTTTACGGTTTAATTCAAACTTTTATTCTTAAACAGAAAAGTCTCAATTACTTTATATTTTTCCAAATTAACGAAACAAACCCTATTTTTTTTTCCAACAGAAAATAATATATTATCGTATAAAATTAGATAATCGAGACTTTTCTGTTAAAAAAATAAATGTTAGGATTAAACCGTAAACTGACCCAAAATATTAAGATTCTATCGGATATTTTCCATGTATAATCCATTGAACGCTATATAATTCAATCGATTGATACATCATCCATTATAAATATATACAAGAACTAAACTTTTGTATGTGAAACATGAATATTGTAGCTATTTGTATAAAATGTAATGTACAATATACAAGTTACTTAATGTGTGAGGTAAAATTTCAATCCCTTAATTTTGTGTATTCGTCACTTTCAACCTCTCTATTTTGTAAAATGATATTTTTCATTCTTTACTTTTTAAAATATCATTTTTACCCTCTCCACATTTAACTTTGTAAAATATCACTTTCACCCCTTCGTTTTCTAAACTTTCATATTTGTCCTGTAGTATATATAATACGATTTTCCCTCCTCTACTTTGTGAAATGCATTTTCACCCCCTTTTTTTTAAATGTTACTTTGAACCTTTCAACTTTCAACTTTATAAATAAATTGTCACTCCTAATACACAACAAAAGCACTTTGCGAACTCAATTACTAGTTAAATACATATATGACTTTACTTTTACCACTCAAAACTCATTAAATACTTATTCATTTCTAATCACCATTTTGTTCTTCTTATTGAACCATTTAATGATTATTTAACTCCTTCAAATTTCGTTTAACTCCTACTCAAACCTAATCATCATTTTCTTCAACTCATATACAACTTGCATTGTGGATGTTCTAAGAAAATCGATACAAGCCATCAAGTTAACTAACAAATTCATTTCTTCACAAACCTTAAGTCGATAAGGTAAATGAATAAAATGTCATTGATAATATATGACATAATCCTCTTATATATTGGTAAAAAGTGTCATAATGAAATTTCTTGATAACAATAAAAACATAAGTTAAACTTTAAGTGCAAAATTTCTTAATGAAAACTGAGTTCCTAAAAAAGATAAAAACAAAAATTAATTATTTTCTAATAAAAATTATTTAAATTTGTTTATTATCATGTCAATTGTTACTAATTGTACCCCTATTTAACATTTTGTTTTTTATTTTTATTTTTCGGTTTTAGTCTATTTTGTTTTTTTGATGTTTCTTTCTTTATTATTATTGTTATTATTATTATTATTATTAGAAAAACATTATAAATAACAATAACATAAATAATAATAATAAGGCGATAAATTGGTTTTATTAATTATAACATATTCTAACAGATCGAGCATTACAATTTTATGGTGTATTATGCATATTATGCGAAACATAAGCATTTAGTCGAACACTATACAAAGTTTTCTATCCAACAAAAAAATTCTGATCTGTAGGTACACCAATGTAACAAAAACAGTAGGCATTTGATACACTCCTTGTAAATAAACCATCACATAATGGTTATCGTAAACGTGGGCGATCACAATAGATACATGCTGTGGGATGTCTTGCGGGTCATACAAAAGTTGGAATCATGCCGTAGAACCTTCTTTGCTCAGATAATGAACGATAACTCCATATCTGTTAGCAATGAGGAAAACAATATGTAGCATAACAATCAATATTCAGATGTCGCAAAACCCGATCTAGTGAAATTCAATGAATGACTGACTGCGTTAAAATTTTCACCGTAAATCATTGCGTACTCTCCAGGGTGTGTTATCAGCGTGTTAAAATATTCACCGTAAATCCTTGTGTACGGATTTAATGATTTATATACGTTTAAACCCAGCTTCCCACACGAAAAAAAATTCATACTTTTTGATATTTTGCAACAATGAAAAAAATTATTGGAAAAATAATATTAACAATAATAAT